AACCAGATATTATATGTATCCAAGAAACTTGGTTGAAACCAACGTTACAGTTTAACATTAATGGATATTCAATTGTACGGAGAGATAGAGGAAATGGAAATGGAGGAGGATGTGCCATATTTATAACAGAAAAAATCAAATTTATCAAATTACAATTAAACACGGAACTGGAAATTAATGGGGTTAAAGTGTGGACAAAGCATGGAAGTATAAAAATTATAAATTATCATAACCCTTGTAAGGATATAGATAAATTAAAAATAGAAAATATTTCTCGGCATTGGGGAGAAAAATTAATTTGGTGTGGGGACTTTAATGCACATAGCACTTTATGGGGTGAGAAAGATGATTATAATGGGGGGATTTTAGAAGGAATTATTGAAGAAAGAATTGGTCGTGTTAAATAATGGGGAAGGAACTCGGTTGGACCTGATAAATGGTAAGGAATCTGCTATTGATATTACTCTGGTGTCTCAAGGTATGGCAGATAGTTGTAATTGGAAAATATATAAAAATAGTACAATAGGAAGTGATCATTATCCAATATTTATTGAGGTTGAAATAGACATGGAAGAAGGACAGGTAAATAGTCAAGGGAGATGGAGGTTTAGAGACACTGATTGGGGAAAATATAAAGTTATGAGTGAAGATAGGTTGGTAAATATAGATAGAAATAAAACAATAAACGAGTTAAATCTAGAAGTTAGAAAGAGTATTTTTGAAATGGCAAAAGAAGTAATACCAAAAAGTAAAGGGTTTAAGAAGAAGAAGATAGTTCCTTGGTGGAATCCAGAATGTTCAATGGCGGTTAAATTAAGGAATAAGGCTTTTAAAACACTTAAGAAAGCTATCTGTTTTCAAAACCTAATTTATTATAAGAGGAAACAAGCAGAAGTCAGAAGGAAGATAAGAAATGCAAAAAAGAGTTATTGGAGTAAGTATTGTGAATCGTTAGGAAAAACTACTGCGTTAGACAGAGTGTGGGACACAATCAAGAAAATGTCAGAAAAATCAAAAGAAATTTTTTTTCCGATACTTAAAAGTAATGACAATATGATTATTGATAATAAAGATAAGACTGAATTATTAGTAAAAGTTTTAGCTAAAGTTCATGAAAATCTTAGTAATAAAGAGAGAGAAGGACGGGAATTAATATTGAGAAGATATAGTGAAAGGATAAATGAGGAAATAGAGGATAATGATACTATAAATATGAAAATTTTAATGACAGAATTAAATAAAGCATTAAAGAATATAAAAAATTCAACACCTAGACCAGATTAATTATATTATGCTAAAAAATCTGAGTGAAAAGAGTAAGGTGATATTATTAGAATTATGTAATAAAATATGGGAGGAAGGAGTTCTGCCGGATAAGTGGAAAGAATCAATTATCATTCCTATTTGTAAACCAGGTAAAGATCCACAGCTAACTGAGAGTTATAGGCCAATAGCTTTAACATCTTGTATTGGAAAGTTAATGGAGAAGATGGTGAATAATAGATTAATTTATTTCTTAGAATCAAGAGGAAAAATAAAATCATATCAATTTGGCTTCAGGAAAGGAAGAAGTACAGCAGATCTTATGGTATATCTAGAACATGAGATTAGGAGAGCACAGGTGAACAAAGAGGTTTTAATGGCAGTGTTCCTGGATATTGAGAAAGCATATGATATGTTGTGGAAGGAAGGACTGCTGATTAAAATTAGGCAAATAGGGTTAAGAGGTAAAATTTATAAATGGATTAAAGATTTTTAACTGATAGAAATATAAGAGTTAAAATAGGAAATGAAGCAAGTTCAAAATATTTAACTGAAAACGGTACTCCTCAAGGAAGTATTATAAGTCCCATGTTATTTACAATAATGATTAATGATATTTTTAGTAAAATCGAAAACGAGTTTGGAGTGACTTTATATGCAGATGATGGTCTAGTATGGAAAAGGGGGAAGAATATAAAGTTAATAAATAATAAAGTGCAAGAAGCGTTACATAGTGTAGAAGCTTGGGCTTTAGAATGGGGATTTAGAATTTCAATTTCAAAATCTAAATTTGTAACTTTTACTACTAGGAGAATAAATACGGATGTAAGATTAAAACTATTTGATAAGGATGTGGAACGGATAGATCAGATTAAATATTTAGGAGTATGGTTTGATAAAAAACTTACATGGAAAATGCATGTTAGTAAAATTGTGGAGAAAAGTAAAAAGATTTTAAATATTATGAGATGTTTAAGAGGCAAAGATTGGGGCACTGGTAGGAAAGCTTTAAAAATAATATATATTGCACTTATTAGGTCAGTAATTGATTATGGGTGTGTTGTATATAATTCAGCATCAAATAGTTTACTAAAAGAAATAGATAAAATTCAATATCAGGCACTAAGAATTTGTTGCGGAGCTATGAAAACAACACCAGAATCAGCATTACAAGTAGAAATGGGTGAGATGCCACTGGAGCTTAGAAGGAAACAATTAGCAGTAGTGTTTTGGGCAAATATAAGAGGACAAAAAAAAAGTTACCCTTTAAATAATATTTTACAACCATGCCAAGAAAAAGTTAAGAATAAAGATATAAAAAGTTTTGGCTGGATTATAAATAAAGAAATAGATGAAATGGGCTTAAATCAGTGTTTAATTAGTGCTGTGATGAGTATTCCTTGTGTTCCACCTTGGATAAATAGGGAAACTGAAGTTGACTTAAGTTTACTGGAAGAAGGTAGACAAACTGAAAAGGAAGAGGTGGAAAATTATATAAGGAGGGAATATGGTGAACACATACAAATATATACAGATGCTTCAAAATGTTAAATGATAGAATAGGAGTAGCTTTTATAATTCCTGATTTAAACATTGTGGAAAATAAAAGAATAACGGATAGACTGAATGTATGTATGGGTGAGTTAATGGCTATTTTAATGGCATTAAAGTGGAGTGAGGAATTGAGAAGAAAGAAAGTTTTGATTTGCTCGGACTCGAGTAGTGCGCTGATAAGCATTATGGAGCAAGCATCAGATGCAAGACAGGACATTTTGATGGATATTAATAAGTCAATTTGTAAAATGGAAAAAAATTGATCCAGTATCAAATTTATTTGGATTCCTGCTCATATCGGTATAATAGGAAATGAATTGCCAGATAAATTTGCTAAGAGTGCGACTAAAAGGGATGATGTTGAACTTAAAGTTAAGTTTAGCAAAAATGAGATCAGAAATATAAGTAAAGTGTACAACAAGAAGAAATGGCAGGAACAATGGGAGGGTGAAAGGAAGGCAAGATTTTATTATAGTATTCAAAAAAAGTTGGGGAATGTAAAAAATAGAAGAGAAGTAAAAAAAGAGGAGGATATCATATCCAGATTAAGATTTGGACATACAGCGTTAAATAGCACCCTGAGAATAATTAATAAACATAGTACGGGGTTGTGTAATTTTTGTGGGAAACAGTTCAACATATCTTTTTGGAATGTACTAATTATAATCTGGAAAGAGGGGAATTAATTAAAGAGTTAAATAGAAGTAAAGTTAAATTAGATATTAGGGACCTATTACAAAAGTCGTCTGGGGACGTAGTTTTTAACTACGTGTTTAGATTTCTTAGAAGCACAGGTTTAATGGGGAGATTATAGAGGCTAGACATCTGGTCCATACTCCAGTCCAGAAGGTGGCGGTAATGCACCTAAAAGTTGTTTTCCAACTGCCATTAAACAAAAAGAAGAAGAAGATACCTAGTGAGTTTAGAGCCATGAAGCTGTCATACACTGAACTATATGGAATTGGTGAGTAGTGAACACAATGTGGTTTTGTTTGTTTGGTATGTTGGTGGTACAATGCTAATTGTTTGATTATAATACACACAATCTAACTTTTTAAATTTAATACATGTGCTTAAGATGAGATAAATGCTGATATCTTTATTTTTGTCTTAAAGATTTGATTGTGGAGCACATGGAATATCCCCGAGAGCGTGCAGCCCTGTCGAACGCCTCTACACATCCTAAAAGGAGCACGCAGGCTACCATTGATCTTCAGCACACTCTCAATGTCACTGTATTGTTTCCTTCCTGACTGAAAATCTGTCATTGTTTTAACCATTTTACTTTAAGATTGGAAGCCCCTACATTTCATTTCTTCTTCTGTGGTATTGTCTTTAAAATGTTTGCATCCCATGAGACCCTCCCCATTTTGTCATGTTGTCCTGCAGGAGAGGTGAGGTCTATTAATCTTTCATCCTAATACATCCAGTTTATTTGTTGATCTATTAAGTTCATTTCTTTTATGTTTTGTATAGGACTTGGAGCGGCAGCCTGTTTGTTCTTGTCAGAATAAATCAAGAAATCATCCTTTTTAAACACAAACCATGTCACGGCTTGATTACTAAATAAAACTACACAATGCAAAAAGGATCTGGTAACACACACACAGGAAATATTAAGCAATGATGGAAAATTAGGGTTATATCTGTACATTAGAAGCAGCTAGAACCAAATTCAGACCATAAGAGTGAGATGAGTAGAGATATAACAACAAAGAACTGAGTAGCAAAATCAAAATGTGCACACAGGAACCTATTTTGCTGCAGAAGTAGGTCAGAGCAGCAAATGTTCTAACCACAGCCTCTGTGGTGAAGACAGAAAAAACTGCAGAGACTTGCAGAAGCAACGCTGGACCACTTCCCCCCACCTAACCAACTCTGACAAACATGCTGGCACTGAGACAGAACAAAAAGTCCAGCTTCGCAACCTTCAGTCCATGTGTTATGTATACCCTGTATTATAGTCAACACCAGCATAAATCCATCAATCTTATTCAAAGCAGTAAAAATATTGTCCCAGCCAAAGATCAATAAAGTATTATTTTATTTATACTTTCATTTTGAAATCTCACCTATCGCTTCATGTACGTCCAATAGAGGTGTGCCGTAGGCATACAGGCAACCACTGTGGTGGTTTTTGCAGAGCGGGTGAGAGTTTCATTTTAGAAGAGACCATTTCATTGCAGGTTTTAATTATTACTCAAGATGTCGATGGAAACATCTTTCCTGTCTGTGCTGGGTAAGTTAAATTATGTTTCAAAAGTCAGGATTATGGCTTTATAATAACTAACTGTTATAATTAGCAAATGATCACTGTCTTTGATTTAGAGTGAAAAGGGAAATGTGAAAGTTGACTAAATAGTCTCAAGTCAAATACTCAATTTATGCAACGTCCAATGATTTACTGAATATGAAACCATAACCTATAATCTGACTATCGTCTCTCCTCAGCATTGACTTCACTGCTGTTCTGCTCAACATACCAAGGTCAGTAAATGATAGCAATGTTGAAAAAATCAATTTAGATAGCAGGAAATGCAAGTAAGTAGGACCTTTAAATGGCATCAATGTAAGCCTTGTATGGCGTCAAGTAAGGAAATTGAAGTCATGAGGGATGAGGGCCGTACCTTTAATAAGACCTTTACTTTCCAAGGTATTTTTGTTTGTCTGCTTGTTTTTGTATGAAATTCAAAACAATATTTTCTGAAAGCAAAAAATAGACAAAGAAATTCATATTTGCCAGATATTCAAAATTCTGTATGATTGCATGTGGCTTATTTGCCAGGACAGAATTTTATTACATGTGTGACCAGTATTTTGTTAGAGTAGGGTTAGGGTTAACCGTACCTCATATTCAGGAGTTTCTTTCCCTTTTCCTCCAAGTGTAACAATGGTGACATTGAAGGAAAAATTCATAATGACCATAAATGGATCATTGATCAAAATCTTTGATGTGTATTGATAATTTGGTTGATGCTACTTTTATTGTGTGTCACTGGTTTCTCAATTGCTTACTGTATGTTCTTTTATGTTGTTTGGCTTCTTATTTTTGTGTTTTAATGACGTAGTTCTAATTGGTGTAGAGTAAATGTAGAAAATAATTTGGCCTTCTTTTGGAGAAATGGGTTCTTCCTTTCAGAGTAGCCTTTCTGAAAGTATTGGTACAGGTCTCATTTTACAGTGGATAATAACACTAGCTTTAGCAGGATGCCCATGAATTCTAAAGCTTTTCTTTCAAAGTTACACATTCTACATCAGTACCTAAAGAACTCATGAACCCCCAAATTATTGCAAGTATCATTTTTATCTGTCTTACAGGTCATCTGACTGTGAGTCCCAGAACATCTCAGTATTTCCAAGGAAAGTCAGTGTCTCTGAGTTGTGAGGAGGAAAACAGCTCTACTGGATGGACTGTGTGGCGAAACACAACCAGAAGAAGGTCTAAGTGTGGAGATGGATGGGGAGAAATAAAGGGTTCTGTTTGTGTCATTAATTATATTTTAAGAAAAGATACTGGAGTGTACTGGTGTGGGTCCATCAATGGATCGTCCATCAGCAGCAGCAGCAGCATGAACCTCACTATTGGTAAGATCAGACTGTGGAGTTAGTGTTGCTGTGTGGAAATGGATGAAATGCTGTAGTTTGTTTCTGTGTTCAGGTGGATCAGTGATCCTGCAGAGTCCTGTCCTCCCTGTGATGGAGGGAGATGACGTCACTCTGAGCTGCAGAGCAAGGAATCCAACCCACAACCTCCCAGCTGCTTTCTATAAAGATGGCTCCTTCATCGGCAACGAGTCTTCAGGCAGCATGACCCTCCTCCATGTTTCCAGCTCTGATGAAGGCCTCTATAAATGTAGCATCAGCGGTTCTGGAGAGTCTCCATCCAGCAGGGTCTCTATCAAACGTAAGTCGCTAAAAGTATAAGGAAAAAAATATATAAGTAATCACACACATGCACATTGTTGTACTTTTCCAACTACCTCATACCATGAGAGATACTAAGTTGCATAACATGCCGGCTCAGACGTCGCCCGGCCAAACAAGGTCTGCGTCAGGTGTTGGGGAACCAGAGCACCTTGATGACAAATGGGCTACTGGAACAAGACGGAAATGGGCGAGAGATGAAAATGTGGATCTGTTGGAATGCTACTACTCAAGTAACCCTAGTGAGAGAGGTTACATGCAAAGACTGGGGAAGGAATGGTTACTTCGACATCCCCAGTCAACACTAAGCGCTAAACAACTAGTAGCTCAGTGTTCCAACATCCGCAAACGGCAACTGCTATCACAACTTGAGATTGACGAGATACAACACAAATGCTACGGCAAAAGGGAGGAACCCGGATGTCAGGACTGTGGGGACTTAACTACAAGTCCCCACCCAGTGAGGGGATACACGGCCCCAATGAGCGAAACAGAGCTGAACGAGACAGCTGCTGACCTGAGAGAGAGAATCATGACCCGAATGACAACCAGACCTCCCCGGCGCCAATTACAACGGCTGAGTGAAGTATCATCAGAAAGTCTCATTGAGAATGTGAATGCAGCATTGAGAACGATCCCTACCAACACCATAACAGAAACCAATGAGCTGATCTACAACTCATCATCAGTGATCCTTGAGATACTTGGCTATAAGAGCAACCATGAGACCCAATACCCACCATGGAAAAGACGGTTAGAGGCTAAAATCAAGGTAACAAGGAGGGAAGTGAGCCAACTGTCAGAGCTCCACAAGGGTGCAATGAAAAGACCAGTACCCAGAAAGTACAGCCAGATGCCCATACCTGAAGCACTTGAAACTGCCAAACAGAGGCTCCAAGCCTTGGCCAGCCGCCTAAAGAGATACACAAGGGAGAATGAATCCAGAAGGATTAACCGGCTCTTCTCCACTCAACCAGCTAAGGTGTACTCTCAATGGCAGGGTAATAACAACATAGCAGACCCACCAAGGCTGGAGACGGAACAATACTGGAAAGGCATATGGGAAAGGGAGGCGTCCCACAACAGCAATGCACAGTGGCTGATCTCTCTACGAGAGGACCATAGCAATCTCCCTGAGCAAGCCCCGGTAACCATCACTGTGACAGATGTTCAAGAAAGAGTCTCAGGTATGAAAAACTGGACAGCACCAGGGCCTGACATGATCCATGCCTACTGGCTAAAGAAACTCACTGCTCTCCATGAGCGACTGGCAGCCCAAATGAACCAGCTGCTACAAAGTGGGACTCACCCTGAATGGTTAACTGAAGGGCGGACAATCCTAATCCAGAAGGATCCATCAAAGGGTCCAGTCCCACCCCACTACCGACCAATAACCTGCCTCTCCACAACCTGGAAGCTCATGTCAGGCATCATAGCGGCCAAGATAAGCAAACACATGGATAAACACATGAGCACGGCACAGAAGGGTATCGGTGTAAATACCAGAGGAGCCAAACACCAACTCCTCGTAGACCGCACAGTTGCCCGAGACTGCAAAACCCGACACACCAACCTGTGCATGGCTTGGATCGATTACAAGAAAGCCTATGACTCAATGCCGCATACTTGGATCATTGAATGCTTAGAGATGTATAACATCAACAGGACTCTGAGAGCCTTCATTGCAAACTCGATGAAGCTGTGGAAAACCACCCTTGAAGCCAACTGCAAACCACTTGCACAAGTGTCCATCAAATGTGGCATATACCAAGGAGATGCTCTGTCCCCGCTACTGTTCTGCATAGGCCTGAACCCCCTCAGCCAAATTATCAACAAGACTGGCTACGGATACCGACTAGAGTAATGTGGTCGGCTGATCACAAAGAGGAGGAAGGTGATCTGCACAGAAGGAGTCTCACTCCCAGAAGGAACAATAGCAGACATAGAGGACAGTTACAAGTACCTAGGTATACCACAAGCAAAGGGCAACCTCGATGAGGCCACAAGGAAAGGAGCCACAGCTAAATACCTCCAACGAATAAGGCAAGTCCTGAGAAGCCAGCTCAATGGCAAGAACAAAATCAGTGCGATAAACAGCTATGCCCTGCCAGTAATCAGATAGCCTGCTGGAATAATTAGCTGGCCAAAGGAGGAGATAAAAGCCACAGATATTAAGACTAGAAAGCTACTAACCATGCATGGAGGGTTCCATCCCAAATCCAGCACCCTGAGACTGTACACGAGCCGCAAGGAAGGAGGCAGAGGACTAGTGAGTGTGAGAACCACTGTCCAGGACGAAACAACTAAGATCCATAAATACATCAGGGACAAAGCCTCAACAGACAATGTGCTCAGTGAATGTCTCAGACAACAGGGAACGGAGGTTGAGGTGCCAGAGATACCATCATGGGAGGACAAGCCCCTACATGGGATGTACCACCAGCAAATAACCCAAGTGGCTGATATCAGTAAATCCTACCAATGGCTGGAAAAAGCTGGACTCAAGGACAGCACAGAGGCCCTCATCCTGGCCGCCCAGGAACAGGCCCTAAACACCAGAGCAATAGAGGCCCAGATCTACCACACCAGACAAGACCCAAGGTGTAGGTTGTGCAAGGAGGCACCTGAGACAGTCCAGCACATCAGAGCAGGGTGCAAGATACTGGCAGGGAAAGCGTACATGGAACGACATAACCAAGTGGCAGGCATAGTGTACAGAAACATCTGTGCAGAATATGGACTGGAAACCCCGAGATCAAAGTGGGAAACACCCCCAAAGGTGTTGAGAACGCCAGAGCTAAGATCCTGTGGGACTTCCAGATCCAGACAGACAAAATGGTAATGGCGAACCAACCAGACATTGTCGTAGTGGATAAACATCAGAGGAAAGCCGTTGTGGTAGATGTAGCAATACCAAGCGATTGCAACATCAGGAAAAAGGAGCACGAGAAACTAGAGAAATACCAGGGCCTCAGGGAAGAACTGGAGAGGGCCTGGAAGGTGAAGACCACAGTGGTGCCTGTGGTCATCGGGGCCCTCGGGGCAGTAACCCCCAAACTGGAGCAGTGGCTACAACAGATCCCAGGAACAACATCAGACATCTCAGTCCAGAAATGTGCAGCAGTCCTTGGCACAAGATACTGCAGGACCCTCAAGCTCCCAGGCCTCTGGTAGAGGACCCGAGCTCAGAGGATAAGAACCACCCGCGGTGGTGAGAAGGGAATTTTTTATATATACAGTGAGGAAAATAAGTATTTGAACACCCTGTGACATTCCAATTTCTCTCACGTAGAAATCATGGAGAGTCTGAACAATCAGCAATAATTCTGGCCCTCAAAGACCTGTTAGCAGGGCCTGCCCAGAGCAAAACAAACTAAGCGGCCTCTTAGGGCCCCACAGCCACAAGGGACCCCCATTAAGTTGAACAGATTTTTTTTCTTTTTTAGTTATGTTTTTTTTGTGGTTATATTAACACCTTCTGGGTCAGCATCGGCATCCCTTCTGGTCTTGATGCTTGTGGTGCCTTAGCTCCCCTCCTCTTGTACATTTGAGTTTGTCTTTGTTTTTGCATTCATCACTTCCATATGCATACATACAACACATACAAGCATTTGTATTACACCACTGACACTGACTTTCACAGTCCACTGTTGTTTATGTTGATAAATATTCCTTTTTCTGCAATTTAACCATTGCATGGTCTCCCATTTTGTTATGACTTTGAGCCAGTCGCAACAATTGGGAGCTTGTCCAGGATAGTTCTGTGAATTTATTTGATTCGGTAATTTTGACTTTTTTTTCTTACCGTTTTGACTGAATTACATTGTTGTTTGTGAGTGTTTCTTTCGCATTGGTTAGCTGCTTGCTAGCGTTTGGCTCTAGAATGCTATTTCCATGTATTTAATTGGTGACGGGAGGCACGGAGTGGGTGTTAGGTAATTGTCCTTATTTGGACTTGTGTGTTCTTGGGGGATATGCAGGTGGTTTGGATAACATCCAGTACATTGTTTGTGACTTTGGAGCAGGATGCTTGTTCCATGGCCTTAATGATTTGATTTTTGCACTATAGCTACGTGTAAATAGGACTCGCCCCCCTCCAAGCCCAAGAACTGACACTGTTGTCTAGAGACGGACACTGCGCAGCCGCAGTGATGTGCTATCAACCCACGTATTTTCAAAATGTCCACCCGATAGATACTACACTGTCCTTAGAAAAAAAATACAGACGTGAGTGGGAAGATGCACATTCCAGGATAATCAGATACAGTGAAGTTTAATAGGGACATTAAATAATGTGTCGGTGATATTAAGGGTGCCCAGTGAGTTGTTTGGTACCAGACAGAAAGGGTCAGGGGAGGAATCGCAGACCGTCAGAACCTAAAGAGCCAGACATCAGTCTTCATTCCTCAATCATCCTGAGACCGAAAATAATGTAAATGGCAATTTAAAGAACAAATCATACAAATAGATTAATAAATAAATATTGACCCCGATGACAAGCAAGTACTTTGAACTTAGTTTTCCCTCGCCCAGACACCGGGACCCCACTCTGGAGCCAGGCCTGGAGGTGGGGCATGATAGCGAGTCCCTGGTGGCCGGGCTTTTGCCCATGGAGCCCGGCCTGGCTCAACCCGAAGAGGAGATATGGGTCCTCCTTCCCATGGGCCCACCACCCGCGAGGGGGGCCAATGGGGTCGGGTGCGATGTGAGATAGGTGGTGGCCGAGGGAGGGGGTCCTGGCAGTCCGATCCTCGGTTGCGGAAGCTGGCTCTTGGGATGTGGAATGTCACCTCTCTGGTGGGGAAGGAGCCAGAGCTGCTGTGTGAGGCTGAGAGGTTCTGGCTATAAATAGTTGGTCTCACCTCTGAGAGGGGCTGGACGTACTTCCACTCTGGAGTTGCCCGCAGAGTTGCCCTGTACATTGTACGTTGGGGTTTACCCCAGTGAACGAGAGGGTAGCCTCCCTCCGCCTACGGGTGGGGGGACGGGTTCTGACTGCTGTTTGTGCTTACGGGCCAAATGACAGTTCAGCCTACCCACCCTTTTTGGAGTCCTTAGAGGGGGTACTGGAGAGTGCCCCACCTGGGGACTCCCTCGTTCTGCTGGGGGACTTCAACGCTCACGTGGGCAATGACAGTGAGACCTGGAGGGGCGTGGTTGGAAGGAACGCTCCCTCCAATCTGAACTCCAGTGGTGTTCTGTTGTTGGACTTCTGCCTCGTCACAGATTGTCCATAATGAACACCATGTTCAGGCATAAGGGTGTCCATATGTGCTCTTGGCACCAGGACAGCCTAAGCTGCAGTTCTATGATCAAGTTTGTCATTGTTTCATCCGATCTGCGGCCGTATGTCTTGGACACCCGGGTGAAGAGAGGTGTTGAGCTGCTCGCTGACCACTACCTGGTGGTGAGTTGGCTCCGGTGGAGAGGGAGGAGAGGGCCTGCCAAGGTCAGACCTTGGCAGGCCCAAATGTGTTGTGAAGGTCTGCTGGGAACGTCTGGCCTTGTGGCCTGTGAGGCGGAGCTGTAACTCCCATCTCTGGCAGAACTTCGAACACGTCACTGGGGAGGCAGAGGACATTGAGTCCCCATTGAAAAAAAAAACATGTGGTATTTTATTCTATGTTGCATGACTTTGTGTTTTTGTGTTTATGATGTAAAGCACTTTGAAATGCCTTGTAGCTGAAATGAGCTATACAAATAAAATTTGATTGATTGATTGATTGAGTCTGAGTGGACCATGTTCCGTGCCTCTATTGTCGAGGTGGCTCATCGGAGCTGTGGTCGCAAGGTTGTCGGTGCTTGTCACGGTGGCAACCCTCGAACCCGTTGGTGGACACCTTCAGTGATGGATGCTGTCAGGCTGAAGAAGGAGTCCTATTGGACCTTTTTGGCCTGTTGGACTCCGGAAGCAGCTGACGGGTGTGGGCGGGCGAAGCGGCTCGCGGCTCTGGTGGTTGCTGAGGCAAAAACTTGGACTTGGGAGAAGTTTGGAGAGGTCATGGAGAAAAACGTCCTCACGGCTTCGAGGCGATTCTGATCCACCGTCCGGCGTCGCAGTGTAGCACCAACACTGTTTACAGTGAGGATTGTGTGCTGCTGACCTCGACTCGGGACGTTGTGGGCCAATGGGCGGAGTACTTCGAAGACCTCCTCAATCCCACCAACATGCCTTCCATTGAGGAAGCTGAGCCTGGGGACTCTGGGTTGGGCTCTCCAATCTCTGGGGACGAGGTCACCAAGGTGTTTAAAAAGCTCCTCGGTGGCAGGGCCCCGGGGTGGATGAGATTCGCTCGGAGTATCTTAAGGCTCTGGATGTTGTAGGGTTGTGTTGGTTAACGCGACTCTGCAATATTGCATGGAAATCGGGGGCAGTTCCCCTGGATTGGCAGACTGGGGTGGTGGTCCCCCTGTTTAAAAAGGGGGATCGGAGGGCGTGCTCCAATTATAGAGGGGTCACACTCTTAAGCCTCCCTGGCAAGGTCTATTCAGGGGTTATGGAGTTGAACCTCGGATTCAGGAAGAGCAGTGTGGTTCTGCTTCTGGTTGTGGAAAACAACTCTACACCCTCAGCAGGACCTGGAGGTTTCTGGGAGTTCGCCCAACCAGTCTACATGTGCTTTGTGGACTTGGAGAAGGCGTTCGACCGTGTCCCTCAGGGTGCCCTGTGGGGGGTTCTCCAAGAGTATGGGGTACCGGGCCCTTTGATACGGGCTGTCAGGTCCCTGTATGACCGGTGTCGGAGTCTGGTCCACATCGCTGGCAATAAGTCGGGCTCGTTTCCAGTGAGAGTTGGACTCCGCCAGGGCTGCCCTTTGTCACTGATTCTGTTCATCACTTTCATGGACAGAATCTTTAGAGCAGCCGAGGCGTTGAGGGTCTTGAGGAAAAGGGTAGAGTGCTTCGCCGGGTTGAGGGAGATGTCCTGCCTCAAGTGGAGGAGTTCAAGTATCTCTGGGTTCACGTATGAGGGAAGAAAGGAGCGTGAGATTGACAGGCTGATTGGAGCAGCGTCTGCTGTGAAGTGGCGCTGTACCGGTTCGTCGTGGTGAAGAGAGAGCTGAGTCAAAAGCAAAGCTCTCGATTTACCGGTCGATCTACGTTCCTACCCTCATCTATGGTCATGAGCTTTGGGTCATGACAGAAAGAATGAGATCACAGATACTAGCGGCCGAAATGTGTTTCCTCTATAGGGTGGCTGGACTCCCTTAGAGAGAGAAGCTCAGTCATCTGGGAGGGACTCAGAGTGGAGCCGCTGCTCCTCCACATCGAGAGGAGCCAGTTGAGGCTCAGCATCTGGTCAGGATGGAGGCTCCCTGGTGAGGAGTTCACATCCCACCGGGAGGAGAGAAAGACCAGGACACGCTAGAGGGACGATGTCTCCCGGATGGCCTGGGAATGCCTTGGGATTCCCTTCTTAAGCTGCTGACCCCGCGACTCGACCCTGGATAAGTGGAAGACGATGGATGGATGGATGGATGGATAAATATTGTGAAGAGAAACCTTTTATTTTTTTCAACATTAAAAATGTTGAAAAGGATTATGCAGGAAAAAAATTGATATCTTTTATAAACAGTGTTTTGTGGTCAATATTATTTTACTGTTTTATTAATGTGGGTTGCAAGTTTGGATCAGGTTTCATATCAGCTATAAGAATGACTGAAAACACGCAAAAAAAATGGCTCACACCTGCAGCCCAGAAGCGGTTCTAGGCACAGGCTAACAGAAGTGGCTCTTTGGGTCAAATACTTTAAATGATGAAATATTACCCTGTTTTTTGTTTCATTATTTAATTGCCTTGTAGGCAGCGTCATACATAATTACCGGTTTTACCTTCCAGGTCACTATCTGCATACAAAATTCCATTCGTTACATCTTCTTCATTTCTTTACAATCCATAACATTGCAAAGTTTTATGTCTCTTAGCATTCTTTACACTATTATATATCTCTCAACTCAACTATTGTTGTCACAAAAAATGTGACAGTATTTCCCTTTTATCTGAGAATTTTGCTGTCTCCATCCATTGAGCAATACTGAGATTGATGCTTTAACCTGATGATTTCATCAATTTTTGTATATATGTTGAGAGACAAATTTGTTCTTTCCGCAGATAAACCTCCAGCCACTTCCAAAGCCCCACCTTCTGGATCAAGCCCTCTTCAGCTTCTGCTCACTGTTTTCCGACACCTGATGGTCTTCTGTCCTTACTTCATCTCCACTTTTCTCTTGGTGTCTATATGTCGAAACAAATGGCCAGGTAATAATATTCTGATCTCTTAATCAACTAATAAAGCCCGTGTTAACATGTTCCTCCTGTACTTCAGCTTCCAACAACAAGGTCTGTGGGGGACAGGCAGAACAGGAAGATGAGGTTGAAGATGTTACCAAAGAGCATCACCTGTAATCTAAAAAGGTAGATAGGGAATTTATACTTTTGCCAGTCATTTACTGATATGTCTGCTGTTTTCATACTTATGCAAGATGTGATTTTCTGTTAAAGTGTCCAGACAATGTGCAGACCCTTTTACAGCTGTCTATAAAATAGGTGACATGTGTAAACCTAAGCTGTCTTAAAGAGTCACCATATATGGAATGCATTTTCCTGTACTTGCCTATGCTGTTGAATTATCATTATGATGACATGCCTATTCTTTCAAATGAATAAATATTGAAGGATTGCAAGCCCGTGTTGGAGGTGGTCTGTTGGCTCGTTTGACAGGCTTCTCCCCTTTCTGGAGACAAGCCTTTGTGTCCTTGTGATCATTTCAGAGTTTATTTGAACAATAAACCAAACAATAATGCCTCTGTCACATTTTGTTTACTTTTACGGTAACATAAGTTAGTTCAGCTTTGGAAAAATAACTTTTTCTCATTCAGTAAACTCTTAAAGTTTTATGTCTCTGAGGATTCATTTATTGTACGTCACCCAACTCAACTTTTGCTGTCATAAAAAATGTGACAGTATTTCCCTTTTGTATGAGAATTAATTAATGTGTTACCATAAAGTGACCCTTAGCTTGCACTTGTTCAAAAACTTGTTCAAATTACTTAATAGAGTTATCTCAACAATTTCAACAACTCTGAGTTATCAACATAACGCCACATGATTATTAAGATGCACTAAATAACTTCTATGTAGTCAACATAACCAACTCAGATAATTCCAACTTTCCCTGGTTAGCTCTGATCTTATTCATAGTTCACCTAATTGAGCTAAAAATGCTGTTCATCAATCGATCAATTCTACCATAATTGCATAGCAAATTTCAGCAACAAAGCAGATCAAATTCAATTCTATTCAATTTATTTAGATAATGCCAACTCACATTAGATAGTGTCTCAAGGCACTTTAGAAAAATATGTCAATTCAATCACACATAGATTCCAAATAATTCTAGTTATCAAACAGTGCAATAAAAAGTTTTTATACAAGAAAAATCCAGTACATTGCATCGAGTCATTGACATACAGATAGGCCTGTTACAATAACAAATTTTGCTGGTTGATTAATTGTCTCAAGTTATTACGATAAACAATAACGTTGGACCAGAACCAGAACCAGAGCAGTTTCAGTGTCAGAACCCTGCAGAGGAGCAGCAAAGTTTTATTGAGCTTAAAACATTTTATTCATGCGATTCTGATCGGATGCAAGAGGAACCAGAACCTCCACATTTTCAGCAGCAGAAACCAGTCAGGATTTGGGAGGAGAAACTTCTAATGGCCTCAACTTGTCAACAACATGGCTGCTTTCAACCAGAACCAGGCGCTGGTCCGCTTCACTATCAGAACTCACCAGAAGATCTGGTGACATTGTTGTCAATGTTTGATAACAATGTCAATGTCATATTATAATTATAATAAGAGTAATAAGTTGTGGTTATCATAAAATTATAAATTAATGCTAAATTAAAGAAACTAAAAGGTTTATGAATGTGATTTTAACATTGAACTTGAAATGGTGTAAAACATGTAACTGCTATTAAAGATCACTGATGATGTGTTGTTACTTGCAGTAACAAGTGGAAGTTGTAAAAAAGAGAAGGAGCGACCGTTAACAGATGTGCTCTGTGGAACTAGTTGGCTGTATGCTGCTCAGTTCTTCACAGGGGGAAGAAGGGTGGCACATCTGGATGTAGGCCGTTAGTAGTCAGGCGAATCCTTTCTGGAAACCAGCTTAAACAGAGTTTACTTCAGTCCTGGATAGGGTAAATCCCAGCAGATTTAGGAAACTCAATTTACCCGTTAGATGGAGAGCTGGTAGCACATCTCCCCTCTCAGAAGAGGAAGTAGTGACTGAGAGAGTAGAGAGTGAAGGAGGGGGGGGGGGGGGGGTGTAGCGGCAACAACACTAGATAACATAAAACCAAAGTGGAAATAAAAACTACATTCATCCAAAAGAGTGCTGATTATGAAGTCTGTATGCTACATTGTCCTTCAATAATCATTAGATATAGATAAAGATATTCATATCCGACTACCTGATGCAATAGGGCTGCATTCACACTGCAGCTTGAAGTGACACAATTCAGATTTTTTTGATGTAATGCACATTCACCCGAATTGAATGTCACTGATACTCAACAAATCTCACTATTTGTCAGGTTCTGTGTTTTATTCCGAGTTTCTGTGTCCTGAGTTCTCCTCGTTGTCCTGTCTTCCCCTTGATTGTTCCCAGGCGTGTCTTGTTTCCTTGATTACCCTCAATGTATTTAGTCCCTCCTGTGTCCTTTGTTCCTCGTCGGGTCCTTGTCGTATTGCCGTAAGTCGTCGTACTTTTGTTGCTGTTGTTTTCCGCCTGTATGACCAGTTGCTACCGGCGTTGAGCCCTGGCTTCCGCTCAGCCGTGCTGCCTGGCCGCGGACTCTGTTGACTGTGTTTTTGTGGACTGTTTGTGCATTAAATATTCACTACTCACTTTACCTGGGTCTCCAGCGTCTGCCTCACCACCTTCACCACCACACTTTATGACACTATTCTGTGTCTTACCATACCATACCAACTTTATTTATAAAGCACTTTAAAACAACCACAGCTGAAACCAAGTGCTGTACATAAAATAGATATTCTTCCAGCTTGGTACAAGCTGGAAGAAAAACAACCATGACGGTCTATAATGAGGATTAAGTTATTAATATGCTGCTGCAGTCAGGCAATAACTTCAGATGTGTAAAGCCCAGTTCACACTACACGATTTTAAAATGTTCAAAACCTGAAAGACCACACACTTGCCAACAAAAATTGTAGGTATAATGAGTTCAATCGTACAGCGTATGGTGTACTTTCTCTCACCGACATTCAGATTCCAGACAAAAGCCCACAAATACCGTACCTGATTTTAGAGTAAACAAACACAGCTGACAACGTAGAGGCAATAGCAACAGTTTGTGAGCTTATTTTAAGCATAAAAGATGTAACAAATCTATTATGTTGACCTTGTTTTTCGGAACATTCTTCATGATGATGCTATTTGTGACTACTACACTTTGTCAAATTGCTGGTTGAATATCTGCATTCTGCCATGCTAATAGCTGAGAAGACGAGTGTTGTCTAAAGTATTGAAATCTCAGAGTCCAGTAAAAGTATAGGTTTCTCTCCAAAATATGACTTTGGTAAAAGTAAAAGTCACTGAAATGTTACTTGAGTTAAAGTCTTAAAGTATCTGAAATGTTTTGTACTTAAGTATTGAAATTACTGTAACAATGGATGAACTCAGTAATGTAATGAAAAGTAAAAAGTAAAACAAGGCAAATGCAGTTTGAATGACATTTATTATATTTTGGTAAACTTGTTAAATACACTTAAAATAATGAACACAACCAAGTGCAGGCAAAATGAAACCTACTAATAGATAAACCTGCAGGATCATTTAGTTAAGAACATTAGGGGCTTTACCTAAACCACAAGGTTAACTTAACCTGCTTTAGTTTAACTTGACCTGCTTTAGGTTAACTTAACCTGTTTTAGATTAACTTAACCTGTTTTAGGTTAACTTAACCTGCTTTAGATTAACTCAACCTGCTTTAGGTTAACTTAACCTGCTTTAGATTAACTTAACCTGTTTTAGATTAACTTGACCTGCTTTAGGTTAACTTAACCTGTTTTAGATTAACTTGACCTGCTTTAGGTTAACTTAACCTGCTTTAAGTTAACTTAACCTGCTTTAGATTAACTTAACCTGTTTTAGGTTAACTTAACCTGCTTTAGATTAACTTAACCTGCTTTAGGTTAACTTAACCTGTTTTAGATTAACTTGACCTGCTTTAGGTTAACTTAACCTGCTTTAGATTAACTTAACCTGTTTTAGATTAACTTAACCTGCTTTAGATTAACTTAACCTGCTTTAGGTTAACTTAACCTGCTTTAGGTTAACTTAACCTGCTTCAGGTTAACTTAACCTGCTTTAGATTAACTCAACCTGCTTTAGGTTAACTTAACCTGCTTTAGATTAACTTAACCTGTTTTAGATTAACTTAACCTGCTTTAGATTAACTTGACCTGCTTTAGGTTAACTTAACCTGCTTTAGGTTAACTTAACCTGTTTTAGATTAACTTGACCTGCTTTAGGTTAACTTAACCTGTTTTAGATTAACTTGACCTGCTTTAAGTTAACTTAACCTGCTTTAGATTAACTTAACCTGTTTTAGGTTAACTTAACCTGCTTTAGATTAACTTAACCTGCTTTAGGTTAACTTAACCTGCTTTCCAACTGAACCAGCTTCTTAGTAAACCCTCCAGGACAGAAAATACAAAGTTTCTATAAGCCTAAGTTTTCCCTTTCAGTAAGGTCAGTGCTGAAAATGAGAAAAAATAAATAGTCAGTACAGAAAATGCAGCAAACATGAAGAAAAAACCCGTTAGGATTCCTCTACTTCACACACTATAGGTGCAACAACTGGTCATTATGCAAAAGAAAAAAAGAATTGGGAGGGAAATGCAGCTTATTGGCATCTGAAGAGGAGAGATTTTAGTTAACTTGGTGTTTAATGGGAGAAGCAAAACTTTTGCATCCTATTGGTGGAGATGAACAAGCCCAGGCAAGCAGGCTTTGTTGCAGTCAATCAGTAGGTTGATCAAAACATTTGCGTTTCTCCCGTTTTTTTGTAACCAGTAACTAAACCACACATTGAAAATGTATCGGAGTAAAAGTATGAAATTAAGTTCGGAAATGTAGTGAAGTAAAAGTGAAAGTTATCAAAAAATTTCTTACTTGAGGAAAGTATGAAGTTCTCCAAAATACACTTAAGTAAAGTAGTGAAGTATTTTTACTTCCTTACTATACAAGACTGGAGAAGAGCACCAGTGCAGAGCAGAAACATCAACGTGACCAGTACAACAAGAGAGCCAAGGGTCACCCTCTGTCAGTTGGAGATCAGGTCTTGGTGGTGAACAAGGGAGTCAGAGGGAAGCGGAAGCTTTCTGATAAATGGGAGCCGGTGATCTACACGGTGGTTGCATCTAAATCTGCTATATTTACCGCATTAAGGACCGTCATGGCAATGAGCGCGTGGTGCATCACAACCTCCTTCTTGATGTGACCTTTTTACCTGTGGGGATGACATTGGATGGAAATGTGAACCACCATACTGACAGTGTGGTTAGAGTTCCCCCAGTTCCTGATTTATACGGAACAGGATGTTCCAGTGAGGCGCCTGATGCTGGTCCTGCTGAGCCTTCCCTTCCT